ACCAACACAAAGCACAGACTCCAGATGAAATAAACTACATATTACACAAAAAGAAAGGGGAAGTGGAAAGAGACAGTGGTGCTTGGGGGAGTCCTTGCTGTTGCATTGGTGAATGTGGCCATGATAAAGAGGCACCATGAGCTCATGTGGAAAATTGTTGCTTCTCAATAAAGATAACAAAATAGAGTCCCAACAAGGTCCCTGCTGCCTTTCCTTCTGTCATCTGCTCCCATGAAGGGATATCACGGGGGGTTAATATAGCAACAGAGGCTGGTCCCCCATTGATCTAGATGCTGCCTTGATAGGCACATGAGGGTTGTACAGATCTTCATGGGGCCTCTTATGCAGTGTGGGCATGGTGTTCTCTCCTGTATGTCATTTATGGCATGCACTATGAGGTTGATCCTCTGGTCCTTGCTATGGAAACACTTCACAAAATGCTCTTTGTCTTCTACCTTGAAAACCCCTGGAACAATGAACCATGCCTTTGTGATCCCTTTTAAGAAAGTTCCTCCTTGTCATATCCACTCACTGATGTGAGATCAGGTCTTCCCACAAAGAATGTCTGCACTGACTTACCAGAAATTGATTCCTGCTCATGTTATTATAGTTGTGAATCACAGCCCACTTTAATAGAGTGAGCTGCCAATGTGTCAAGGGCACACATGTAACCATGACAATGATTCCTTGTGTAGTGTCACAGAGACCAGGCCACACCCTGCTCAGGGAAGCACATAGGTGGTGAAGCTATGCAGATGTTTTTGGACTAGTAATTAGGGGAGGTGCCTGAAGGCTTCAGTTATCATCATTGTTGGGGACAATTTCCCATACAATCATCATTTCCTACTACAGAACTTCACTGCTGAGAAGAGGAAGGTCATTGGGGAAAGGTCAGACTCAGTCCATATGTACACAGTTCAAATATTGGTCTATCATTTCTGATGCTCAGTTTATCATCAAGATTCTCTTATCATGAGGCTTGTATTGTGCCATCTGCAGGACCTGCAGCTTGGGGAATAGAGCTGTTTGAAATTTGCCCTCCAGCCTGTCCCTTCACATCATTAAACACACCTTGAATTGGGATTGACCAGAAAGCAGAAAGCCATGAGGTTTTCCCTACCTCCTCTCATCATGGTAGTTGATGACTTCTGAGGCTGTCACTCACTGGATAGCAGTGTAACAGCAGTTCATCCTGTCCCATTTGGAAAGTGGAGTCCTGGGACAGGTGCTGACTCTGCCTCAACTGTTGTCACCTTTTCTAACAAACACAAGGGGAGATTAGGAGTAGAAAACAATGGACATATCCTACTCTGGGCATACCCCTTCCCGTTCTTCCACTGTCCTTTGCCTTTATGCCTGTCTCCTTCCCTGAAAGTCTATCCCTGAAGGCTGGTCTCATATTTCCAGCAATCCTTCTAACTCAGAGTCCTTTATTGTTGGGCTTCCTTTTTATTCTTCTTTTCCATGGATGTTTTTTTCCTGCCCTAATGCGACATTTGAAGGACAATGGGAAGGAGGCATCTTAGAGATCTGAGGAGTTAGGCAATGTATCACAGTGTTCCATTCCTCTATCTTATTGTGGAAGGAAACCTACACTTAAGAATTGTGGCATGCAAAAAGAAAGAGAACAAAACTGAGTTAACATCTTTTTCTACTGGTCCTCATCCAATCAAATCTCAGTTATAAAATAAAAACTGTGGGGAGATTCTTCCTGTGATTTCTAGATGAAGTGTAAGCATTGTGCTACCCTCAGAACCAAACAGGATTTAGGGAAGGTGGCCTCAATTAAACCAGCTATCTAATCACAGAGCTTGAAATCCTTTTCCTGTCTGCAGCAGCATAATCTGGAAGAAGAGAAGTTATACAGTTGCCCATCAGGGATGCCCCTTTGCTGTCTCAGTCTGGATGCCTGTGGCAACAGTTGCAGTAGGAACAGCCCACCTGGAAGTCTTCCTGTCAACATCATTGGATCCTGGGAACCCACAATTTCCTGCTTTTCACCAAGTTCTGGATAGCCAGTAAGCATAGTTAGACTTACTTGATGGGGGTGATTTCCTATAAAATGTGCAGTGGAAGAGGAAGAAGAGACTGAAAACTTATCTGTGCTTGGTGTCAAATGGTATCTGAGGGACTTAACATGTGACATAGATTGTAGATCTCCATCAAAGAAAGATCCTGAAACATCTACACATTTTTAGTAACATGGTAGACAACATCGGTGATCTAGAAGCATGCAAGTTCCATGCACAGAATGAAGCATGATCAAGCATGCCCCATCTCACTGTAATAGTGCTACTACTCCATTGTAAAGGATGAAGGCACCATCAGTGTTGTGCCACAATACACACATGCTTGTTTACATACAACAAACACAAATATGTGCCCACATTCATACATTTAAGAACATGTATGTGTCTACACCTTTGCATGCACACAGACAGACAGACACACACACACACAGAATTATACTTTGAATTTCTATTAGATGGACAATAAATTGGCATAACAATAAATTAAATATAAACAAACAACCTTTGTGGCATTGGTATGCATGTGTATGGTATTCATGTTGTATGCAGAACTATGAATATACTTATGTGCATATTTTATAAGTATCTATATGATATACTTAACATGTACAACCATATCTAACTGCATATACATGTGTATATAAATATAAAGATAAACTGAAATCCCAACTCCCAGACACCAGCAAAAGAGGCAGGAGAACTTTCTGAATGGCTGGCTTGATGTGTCAGCTCTTTCCTGCCTTCATTTCTGAGTGCCTCTTATGTTTATTAACAGTATCATTCATTTGAAACAAAATTCTGCACACATTTTTCACAATGCCCTTTAATATTAAAATATTTTCTAACTTTTAGAACCACAAGAAAACCCTCTAAGGCAGAAAGCCATGAGTCGATCAAGAAAAGTACCAGGGAAGGGCCAATGAAATGGCTAGCTGGGTGGAAGGAAAGAGCTGACTCCTCCTAATTTGTTCATTGACCTCCATATGAACAGAATGACAGAATGGCATGGCGTGCATTCTGTGTTCATTCTCTCTCTATCATATGTATGTATTTATTTCCTCATCACAAAATAGATAGATAGATGTTATTATTTTAAATACCAATCAGAAGATTTCTATACACTTATATGATATAATTAATATTTAAAATAACGAAAAAATCTCATGCAGCTCACAACTGTTTGTAACTCCAGGACCAGAGGAGTTGACACTCTCACACAGGCATACATAAAGGCAAAACACCAATGTAGAAAAAATAGTGAACAAACAATTAAATATTTCTAGGAGCTAGTGGGGTCAGGAGCCCCACAAGCATCCCACAGAACTAACTAACCTAAGCTCATAGTTATTCACAGAATGAACCACCAACCAGGGAGCATGCATGGGACTGACCTATGTCCTCTGCCTGTATTTTACAGTTGTATAACTTGGTCTTCTTGTAAGACTCCTAACAGTGGGAGCAGGGCATGTCTCTAATGCCTGCTTTTGGGACCCATTCCTCCTACTGAATTGCTGTGTCCAACCTTAATGTTAGAAGTCATGCCTAGTATCACCACAACTTGATATAACATGGCAGGCAGATATGCACAGGAGGCCTGCCCATTTCTGAAGAGAAAAAAAGAAGGAGGAATGGATGGGGAGCAGGAAGATTAGAGGTTGGGGGAGGGACTGAGAGGAAAGGATGGAGGGGAAATTTTGGTTAGGGTGTAAAAACAAAAATAAACAAATAAATAAAACCAAATTTATTCCAAGAGATGGAGAATATTGATGGTTACCATATTTAAATTTGAGATACTAAAAGAATGTCCCTCCAGAGACATTGCCACTTATTCTAACTTTATAATGTGTTTGCAGTTGTACAGGGATTGCTGGGGATGTATTTCTGTATGCTGTGAATGTGTTGCTCTGAGTAATTGATAAATAAAACGCTGATTGGACAGTAGCCAGGCAGGAAGTATAGTATAGGCAGGATAAGCAGAGAGGAGAATGCTGGGAGTGTAAGGCTGAGTCAGGAGAAGCCACCGCTGCCATGAGAAGTAAGATGTAAACTACCTGTAAGCCACAAGCCACGTGGCAAATTATAGATTAATAAATATGGGTTAATTTAAGATATAAGAACTAGATAATAAGAAGCCTGCCACAGCCATACAGTTTTTAAGTCTCTGTGTGTTTACTTGGGTATGAGCAGCTGCAGGAGCTGGGTGGACAGAGGAAAACTCCAACTACAAGGAATAATTAAATCATGCTAGACATAATTTTGAGCTGGTATAATACATAATGTCTTTGTGTTGTACTTGCAATAATTATATCATATTTAGGCAATATTAAGACATGGTTATTGTATTACATTTGGAAATTAATCATGACATAAAAAGATATAATTGTGTGTCAAGTTGACAAGGGTGCAGATGTGATATCTATTTTTGTTTGTCACATTTATTACATCTGGAATTAACTAAAACCCCAAAATGGAGGGGCACACCTGTGAGGTACTTTTGCTTAATTTGAAGAGAGAAGATCCATATGTAGTCGTGATCTTTGCATTAGGGAAATACTCTTTTAATCTGGATATTGATGAGGAAGGAAACACCTATAACTCTGATGTTTTGAGCCCCAAAATCCCGCCTGTAATCTCAGCCAGGCCTTGTGCTGGAAGCCCATATAATGAAATGGAAGAAGGGAGTTTTGCTCTTTAGCTGCTTGCTCTCACCTTGCTAGCAAGTCCATGCCTTCACTGGCATTGGAGCCAACTTCCTTGGGATTCCAGACTATACTGCTGATGGGCTGAGACATCAAGCATAGTGTACTGTGCAACTTCTGGATTCGTGGACTTTGCCATTATAGCCAGCCAATGTTCAATTAGCTGGACCACAGCATCTAAGTCATTCTAAAATATAGGCTTTTGTATCTATAGAAATTCATTCTGTTACCCCATTAAACCCTGACCAATGCACCAGACAGGTATAGGACTTTTAGAGTAGTTTGGGCCTAACAACAGCCTTATCTCACTTATAAATTCCACATGGTCACATTCCCTTAACCTGCTTTTTAGATGATTCTTTGATGCTGGCCTACTAGGTTTCTATAGCTTCTGGGCAAGAAAGTAAAATAACACAAGTCTGAAATTTCTCAAATGGAACACACAGTAATCTAATTAAACAAGTAATTATATGAGATGGAGAGATTCTAGCTTAAGTGAAGAATGAAAAACCAGATGTCTTAGCTTCTGTGGGCCAAGACCTGGCACAGCCCCACTGATGAAGACCAAAGGACACAATATTCTTTTTACCCTTGATGTGACAGCTCCAGTCTGGAGACCCATGGGATAACATCATTTAAACATGAACTCTCTGCTTCATTGTCAGTCTCAGGAGTCAGATCTCTTCCAGAGGAGCTTCACAAGAGTCAATCAGTCATTTGAAAGAACTTTCTCAATATAATCTGAGATCTGCTGTGGTAAAAGAGCAGCATCATCTACCTCCTCCTGTTTTTAGTCTTGCACAGAATCACTCTGCACCAGAGATATGGGGCCCCTGATGCAGGCTCCATCCACTCCACCTAGTCAATGAGGGTCCTCCCAACATTGCTTATCTCGACCATCAAGAGGGATTCCTCATCTCACCTCCACCCCAGGACAGTCTTCTTAATTCTGCATTTCATAAGACAGTCTTAATACGTGTTGTCAACATAGAAGATATCTAGCAAATCTGTTCCAGTCTGACAGTGAGTGATACTGGAGCAGGATCTTGAACCTATGAGAGCCCTGCATGGATGTGTGGCAGCCTAAGACAGTTAGCATGCCTGTCCCAACAGATTTCAAGAAACTTTTGGTTGGGAGTGATCCAGTCCACCTAGGACAGCACACATGGCTGGGAGGACAAGGTCAGTTGCAGGGACTGGAGAGATGGCTCATCCATGAAGAGCACTCATTGCTGTCTCAGAAGACCCACAGGACAGCTAACAAACCTCTTTAACCTAAATTCCAGGTGGAATCTGCCCTCACCTGGACTCTGTGGGAATTGCATGTACATGGTGGCCAAACACCCTTAAGTATGAAGAAAAGCACCACAAAATATCCCAACATGTCTTGCAGGAAATTATCTCTTCTTCTCAGTTATCATTCATGTTATATGTCAGGAAAACTAGAGGCAGATTGCTTTTCATTTTCTGATTTGTTTTATACAATTTTAATGAATATTCTTATTTCAGAGAGGCCTGGAGCAAATACTTGTTTTTCCCTTTAATTTGGTGTACATGATGATTTCGTGAACATGTGTGTATAGTGCACCACACTTTACTGGCCGCTAAATATATGATGTCAAAGATACATTATGTCTAGTTTTTCTATTATGTAGTGGGTATCCATGGAGTAGGCTATTCCATCTGCATACAAGGTGCCATCCCCCTGTATAGCCCTGAGACCTATGACTGAGAAATCTTTGTGCAGCCCGAGATTCCTGGAACTGGCTGAGATACATCCAAGCCTGTCAGTTCAGGGTTTACAGCAGTGTGAAACCTCACCTGACTAAAGAAGACTCTCAGAGTGAAGCTGAAATTGGATTTTATTCATAAAAATACATTCATTTTACTCAATGGGGTCTTTCAAAACAGTAGTCATTATATACAATGTATAGCCTTAGGAAACTATTAAAACACAATAACAAAAATTAACAAAACCTTAAACTAAAATGAAGAAAACCAAAATCTAAAGCATAAATATCCCAACATATAAACAAAAAAAATTAAGCAAATTTCAGGATCCTTTGGAATTTCATTATGGAAGAGCAAATGAGGTGAGGACCTAGCTTACTCTCTGAAGTGAATTATCTTCAGCAACACTAGCATATGACATGGCATCAGCT